ATATATATAAACATTGCATATGATTCCCTTCAGGCTTCTTAAAAGATTGTAGATGTTTTGGTCTCCTCTGCTCTCGTGCATCCAGTGCACTTTATAATTCTGGCTTCCTCTCAGACTGTGCTGGCTGCTAGATATTTCATTTCATGCGTAGCTCTCTGAAGCACAAGTTATCTCACCTTTTTGTTCTAACTGCAGCCAAGTTGCTGTGTCAGTCCTCTATACGGGCGTCTGACTCTCCACTTATAGCCTGGGCGTCATCACCTTCCCTTGTCCTGTCTTCATATATCCTGCTGTCCTCCCTTGCCCTCCTCTGTGCCTTAGTTTACTCAAGATACTGATGTATTGAGTGAACCTACTGCTGCCCAGTGACTGAAACTTTATTAGAAAACACAAGGACAGTGCTGCTTTGACAGCATATAAAATGTGATAATGTGACTTTGTGGTCACCATGACAGTCCCCAATGTATCCCTCCTGTGTACCAAAGTATTTTATGTTGGGTCCTGCAGAAACTGACAGTTTCAACACCCTTTGTCTCAACTTTCTTCTTTTAGATCAGTCGCATTGAGTACATCCACTCCAAGAATTTCATCCATCGGGATGTTAAGCCTGACAACTTCCTGATGGGGCTTGGCAAGAAGGGCAACCTGGTGTACATCATCGACTTTGGCCTTGCCAAAAAGTACCGCGACGCCCGCACACACCAGCACATCCCTTACAGGGAGAACAAGAACCTGACTGGCACAGCGCGCTACGCCTCCATCAACACACATCTTGGAATCGGTAAGATACACTTCAAGCATATATACAAACTTTATTTACTTTAGGGTTGGGTCGATGTAATATTTTCATACTGGTTTGATATTAAGTCAAACCCTGGACTGGTAAACTGAATTTTACCTCCAGGTTTCGCATTTGACTCAGCAGCCACTCCCTCATAAAACAATGACACTGTGTCCCAAAAGCAAACGAGCGTTTGACTATTACATCACATTGTGTAACATTGAAGCTCTTTGTCAACATAACATATACACCGCTGTTACATCATTTAAACAAACCAGACACCTATCAGCTGTGCCCTCGAGATCCAACAGGAGACATAACCACTTAAACGCTGTGTTTTAAGTATGTGCTATCTTCCTGTGTTTGTAGTTTTCAAACAGAAAACTCACAACAGCACAAAGGTTACTAATAGTGATGGTTATTTACCAGAAACTTTGAGCTATCTGATCTCCCTCCGGCCAGCTGACACCTTATTTATTTATTTATTTATTTATTTATTGATTGATTGATTGATTGATTGTGGTGAAATGAGGTATCATATAGATTAGCTATCAATAACTGGCCACATCCAGTCCCACCAAAGCTTTCCATCTGGCACGCAGCCTATTAGATTATTTGTAAAATGTGAGGAGGAAAAGAATTGCATCACAATATTTTGGACATCTAGTATTTTTTTCCTTATATATTGAAGCAACCCTCAAAACAATTGAGATGGAAATAATTTTGTTAGGAATAATTTACCAACCCCAAATTATGTCCGTTTGACCCGCGGATACTAAAGACATTATAAATCCATCTGTTAGCTCATTATTAGCAGCAGTGATGCAGTGGCTTCAGGAAGGCCTACTTGAAAAACATCAAAATATCAAATGTCCAAAAGTGAAAAAGCATTAACCTGAGTGAGAGATTAAAAACTGACAGAAACCGTGGCACTCAGTCTGTGTCTCTGTCCTCAGTCCTGACAATTGTGCTACTTAAATGCATATTGTTTGCAGAAAAGATTCCCTTCTTTTATAAACAAGACACTGCTGGGGCCATATCATGCTGGGGACAAACTCAACTCCTATTTAACATATTGTTTAATTTCCTCACATTTATATAATTTAACATTTATATCATTAAAATAATTTTAGAATCGTTGACCAAGTATTAATTAAATTATTAAACAATGATTGGCTTAGGTCTGTCTGTCTCTATCTAGGTGTATACACACACACACACACACACACACAATTTGAAAAGTCCCTCCCCCACAGTGTCTGCTTAGAAAAGTTCTGGCCCTTGGATAGGTCGAGTTGATGACCCACAGTATAGATAATTCCTCATTTAAGCTTCATGAATCAGCGATTTGTCATCCACTGCAGCACTTTGAAAGCAAGCAACAGGAATAAGAAGAAACAGCAGCGACACCTCTTTTGTCGGCTTTAAATTTAAAATGTTGTCATATTGGCAGAGTTTTCTTGAGAGACTAACTCTACCATGTCTCCTCTCTTCACCCCAAAAACCACATGCAGTAACTTGCTTGCAGCCTGTCAGATACTTCTGGCTCCAGTTATTAGCAAACACAATATTATGTTAATCACGTTGTCATATTGCTGATTGCTAATGCAATGCAAGTTGGATTTAGCACCATGAGGCCGTTGTCACAGGTTGCAAATGTAGGTTACTTCTTTATTTGTGTCATAATAACAAATGGCAGGTTCAGCGAGTTTACATTAACCGAACCGGCAAAACCTGAAATCGACCCAACTTTAATTTGCTCACTTTGTTTTGCTGAAAGCTACTGTGTGTGTTGGGTATCAAGAACTGGTGCTACATTAGTTACTTGTTATGCACAACATTGAATTAGACCCTCAGAAAACAGTACTGCTGTTGGTTCTTCAACTCCTGGCCCTGTTATTCACACACATCATGTCAGGCAGTTCTGTTGTTACCCCATGTGATGAAGCTCTCTGAGATATCCCCTGATAGAGTTGATGTGATTCATGCTTGTTTACATTCTGTGTACTTCTAGAATGGCGGAGAGGTTCAAGTGTTAAAAAGTATAGATAATCCTGACTAGAGCAAAGACAAATACAGCAAGATACAGCGTCAGTCAAAATGGAAAGTACATATGAATTTTGTGCTGCTCCATCAGGGTCACACCCTCGCTCCCCTTTGAGAATTGCTTCTGAACACCATGTTAAATGTGATTAATTGGAGCAGTCTTATGATATCTCCCTTTACACAACTTTCATCCCAAGTCTGGAGGTGTAATGCACTTTACTGCAGGCCTGATTTTTTCCATTGTCTAAGTCAGTTTTCCTTTTTCAACATACTTTAGTGTCTGTGTCAGAACATAATATTGGTCTCTGAACATTTTAGTGGTTTTTAAATCTGGTCTTTAAATCTTACGACTGCTTAACTTTTTTGTACCATTTCTAGTTCTACATTCCTTAAACGGTTGCTCCTCATTGACACCCCCACCTCCCCTCTCCTCCTCCCACTGTTTCATTTTGGACTTGCTTCATTTCTGCATCGTCTTTGTTTGTACACACCCTGTCAGGTCATACAGAGGATGTGAGGGAAGAAGGGCTCAAGAGAGAGCACAAGAAGGAAATGCCAGTGGGAAAATGTCTCTGCTGTGGTGTTGTCTTCACAGTGTAGTGCTCTCTGAGACATTCTGCAGAGCACTTTTATTTGGCTAACTATTTAAACACATCGACAATCTGACTGAAGTGTTTCAGCAAGCCCCTCCAGTTAATGCAAATTTAGACTTTGCATTTTTTTTAACAGGATTACACAATGCTTAATAGCAACAGGTATCAAACTTACAGCACATATATGACCGGAACAAGGCACGAAACCCTATCACAATCCTCCCCATTCCACTAACCCCTAACAGCCAGAATAATATCAATAGAACGGTCCTCCATCTCCTGAATAGTACAAAAAATGACAGATGAAGTAAAAGGGGGAGGGGGAACGACTTTGCAATTATGTCCAATCACTGCAACTTTACTGCAAATTTGACTACTTAAAATGGGTCAAATCTGATTTCATTGTAGAGCTGTGTGCAGCATATTGTTTTGCTCAACCCCCCTTCCACCTCTCTGTCTCTCTCTGTCATAACCTAACGTTTATTAGCAGGTTTCATGTCAAAGGCAAGCAGTTTCAGTGTCAGTGTAAGGTCGGTGCAGTTTAATGGCTCAGTGTCAGATGTTAGCCGCTGCTGCTGTGTTAGCTTGTGCTAACCGGGCAGAGAGAGCAGGAGAAGAGCGGCTTACAGAGACGATCCATCAGTGCTGCGTTGAAGGGCAGCAACAGCTGATCACTGACGATCAGCTGTTACTGCCCTTTGACCCAACCCTTCACTCCATCGCCACAAATAGATTCTAATTCTGTGGTTAACACTGAATGCTCATAATAATGGGCTCCAAATCCGGGACACCATGGCAGCCATTTTTGCGAAAAAACACAAGAAACACAGCGACATACATTGCATTTTTTTCTGTTTTAGAAAAGCTGCTGTGCAATCAGGCATTTCAGGCAGCAACAATCCCAAAAACTGCCTGTGAAATCCTGAAAGGCCTGGTGAGCTAAACAGTTGCAGCCCCAGCAAGTTTATATCTGTTTTTGGTTAGATATTGACTTTGTGCTAGATATCTACTGGATGGACAAACATGTTAGTGAGAGTGTACGTGATATTTCTGTCATAGCAAATCACCTTACTTGTGCCTTGAAGGAGGAGTTGTAGTTTTAACTTGTTAAATGCGGTAGGCAACTGTTGTGATGTCCATACCTTGCTTCTGCCTTTAAAAAGTGTATATAAACATAGAGTTAAGGAAGGGATTCTGTTGACTATTAGTAAACATAAGAACTGCACTGTCGAGTGTTGTCCGACTAACAGGCTGCACATATTTCTCAGTAAGAGGTGCCACATGACTGTCAGGGAAATCAGCAATCTATGACTATTATTTGTGTCGATTACAGGCCACTCTAAGCTGAGACTTGTTTCTTAAAGATCAGAGATGATTAAGGAAGATGGTAGTTAATTTGAAAACTGTAAAAAGGACCTTAGTAAATAATCCTTTGTCGTAGCACTTAGCAGCCATTCCTCAGTTTCTCACTCTTGTATGCACTCTTGTGTTTTCTGTTAACAGAGCAGTCCAGACGTGACGACCTGGAGTCCCTCGGCTACGTCCTCATGTACTTCAACCTGGGCTCCCTCCCCTGGCAGGGCCTTAAGGCCGCTACCAAGAGACAGAAGTATGAACGAATCAGTGAGAAGAAAATGTCCACACCCATCGAGGTTCTGTGCAAAGGATACCCTTGTAAGTGATGTTTCTGTGGGGCCTCTGTGTGTTTGGGCAGCAGGTTTACCTGTAGCTCTGCAATTATCTACAGCTGCAGTATTGGGTTTTCTCAGTATTGAATCGAACACTAAAAATGCAAATGTTATCTAATCACTGTCGTCAAAGCTCAGCACTAACTCAGTGATTTTGTGTTTGGCTTGCTGTTTTCGTTGTCTGCATTCTTGAGTGTCTCCTCACTGCTGTTTTGCTTGTTATTCTTCTGCAGCTGAGTTCTCCACATACCTGAATTTCTGCCGTTCACTTCGTTTTGACGACAAGCCAGACTACTCTTACCTACGACAGCTCTTCAGGAATCTGTTCCACCGCCAGGGTTTCTCCTATGATTATGTCTTCGACTGGAACATGCTCAAATTTGTAAGTTAAAGTGTTTTTAACTGAAGTATTGCAATTCTAAATAACTTACAATATAATACAGCTAATTCAAAGATATATTTTATTAATGAGAATGCTTTAATATGGCTGATCTCATTTAACAGGGTGCCAGCCGAACAGCTGAGGATGGGGATCGGGAGAGGAGGACGGGGGATGAGAGGGATGAGCGGATCGGAGGAGCCCCCAGGGGGTCTGCATCGCGGGGCCTCCCCCCAGGTCCCAACCCAGCAGCTGCCAACAGAGTCAGGAACGGGCCAGAGCAGGCCATCTCTAACCCTGCCTCACGGGTCCAGCAGTCCGGTGAGTATTCTGCTCAGAGGTCTCAAACTGCTGCCACTTGTCTCAACAGAATAATGTTACGCTGACACGTTTTTATACATCATTTCAGGGAACACGTCGCCTCGTGCAATTTCTCGTGCAGAGAGGGAGAGGAAGGTGAGCATGCGGCTTCACCGCGGAGCTCCTGCCAATGTATCGTCCTCTGACCTCACAGCCCGTCATGACCAATCCAGAATTTCCACATCACAGGTGAGAGAACACTCTCAGCTCCTTCAGTCAGCCGTGTGACGCACACTGCATTAGCAGACAAAAAATATTTTATGAGAAAGCCTTGTGTGTTCAAGTGGACAGTGAAAAGAATGACTCACCAGTGTAACATTTTATAAACAGCATGACATCCAGAAGTAAATCACAGCTCCTCAAGCCCATAGCAAACTAGACACCACCTAGGCATGGTTAGTATGGACTGAATTAACAATCTGACAGCTATCACAACACTGCCTTTTTCAATTTATCCCAATATTCAGTGAAATATTCGATTTGAAATAGACCTAATTATGTATGGGACAATATATGATTGGATTGGACAAAGATCACACAATAAGTTGATCGTGGTGAATTTCCATTATCAGGATAATCCTGAATATTGTTTCAAGTAACAACTAGAGAGACTGCTCGAAAACCAACAAAAAGAGACTCTGCAAAAACAGTCTGTCTGCACACCAACCTCACAAAAGGCAAAAAAGTTTGATCAAGCATCAGTATATTTCATATAGAATGATATTATGCCATTTCAAGTAGTTGTAAAGCCTGGTTTCTTGGAAGATTATTTGATCCTTTTTCACTAAAGAAAAATGTTGACTAACAAGACGTGTCCTCCCTCAAGTCTCCACATTCTGTGTTCGTTCCACATCCTCCTCCTCTTCATCTTCATCCACCTGAATATCACTGTCTGACCTATTGAAAGTGAGCTGTCTGAGTTATGAAATGATTCTGTGCGCTCCATTCCTCTGTCTTGTCATGGCTGTGTCCCGCCGCCACATTTTCTTCACTTCTTGGTCAAACATCTCTAAAGGCTCTGACGAATGCGAAATACACAGAAAAATGAACCTGTTCTGAAAATGTTAATGATGGACAAAAGTTTGGGACTCAGTGTGCAAACATAATTGTCACAATGTGAAGTCCTATTTATTTTAAGATGCACAACAATTTCAGACGAGAAAAACAGACTCAGTGTGCAAAGGCCTTAAGGCCTCAAAATTACCCTAGGTTTAGGTCAGCACTTCTTTGACATGGTTTCAAAAAGTGTGTAATACACGCTTAACACATGTAGTGTTTGTTGCAGGCTTTTATACTGTTCATACAGTTTTTTAAGAAACAAATTATTGTTGTTGCCGCCAATTAATGGCTTTTGAAACCAGAATCAACTTTGCAGGTTTAATGGACAACCTTAAACTTGGATAACACTGTTTTCAATCCATGTAGTAGTTACAGTTGTGTACTAAAGCTGCCTTATGAAATCAATTAGTACAGCTGTCTGAACAGTTTTGTTGTTATTATCCTCTGAGTCTTTATTCTGTGTCGTCTGCAGGTCAGCGTGCCGTTCGAGCACATGGGGAAGTAGAAGTCTTTGGCTCTGCATGCACATGACTCTGACAGGTGAGGTCTTAATTTCACTCCTTTTTTCACATGCCAACTGCAGAAATACACCACCTACCAATATATCACCCTCTCTAATAACTGTCCCTCCACTTGTTGTTGCAGGGCTGCAAGGTTTATTCATCGCTCCGATTTATTTTCCTTTATTTTTACCTTGTCTTATGAAAAGATGATTGCCAATGGACACATGGATCTTTGGAAAAGGACAATAAACTTTTTAAAGGATCCAGGGGAAGAACATGACAGTATCCAACATGCACTCTTTCATGAACCCTTTGTTTTTTTTGTTTTTGCTGAACCGTGGACCACCACAAATACAAAAAGCAAACGAATGACGGTCCTACACCATTTTCACTCCGTGGTTGCTCAAACCTGCTCCACTCCTCAGAACATTTCCCTCAGTACCTTCTGTCTGACAAATGTGAAGAACTGATGGCTTCACAGAAGCAAAAAGGTATCAGGGACACGCGCATGTTTCTCATCAGAGGTCAACTTAGTGACTGATATAGGCTTAGTAAAGATTTATCTTCTTTGAGTTCAACACCGCAAACACAACTCTTCAGTGTCATCTTTTGTCTTTCATGAGGATATCTTAAATTGGAGCTTGTCATGAGTTTCCTTTCTTTTGCTTTTTTTGAGAGTAATAACAGCTAAAAGACGATGAGATGAGGAGAGGTAGGTGAGAGGGTAGTGGACACATAGAAAGGTAACTTTAAAAAGGACAAGTAAGTGATGTTTTAGCTGTTGTAGAGTAAATGTTTTTTCCTGGTGAAGTAGCAATTGGTGCTTGCTTGCCCTCCATCCATGTCGTGATGATTTACTGTCCCTCAAAACTCAGCCACCAAAACCTCCACACCAACCCCTTATTTTGCCTGTTTTCAACCTGCGTGTTTTTTGTTTTTTTTTTTGGTTTTAATGTGAGCGGGTAAGGTGAGGAACGACCATAGATATTGCAAAGACACACTCCAAGTCTTGAGGGAAGCTCCTCAGGAAAAACTATTTGACCAGAGACCATCGCTGCCCATTTTGGCTAACAAATAGTGGCTGCAATTTTTATGATACTTCTAAATGTTACCTTTCTTTTTAAAATTCATTTTGTTATTGGAGGTCATATGGGAGTGGGCAGGCTCTGTTAGGGATGACTTTTATGGGGATGGGACATCCAATGATTTTTTTTTTTTAATGTTTACTTCACTGTAAATATTTTTTTATTTCGATGTAAAGCCAAAATGTGGTTATTTGTTTTAAGGCGTAAAGTAGAAAAATGCATACTAATGACATAAATTGGGGCTGGGTTCAGAATTTTAGTATTTAAAGTACTAAATTGTGGGATGGGCTGCTGTTACTTTGCCAGCTGGGTCATTCAACATTTTGTGTGTGTGTTTGTGTGTGTGTGTGTGTGTGTGTGTGTGTGTGTATGAGAGGGAAAGTGTGATACAGTGAATCCCTGCTAAGAATACAATATTCATTTTGTCTTTGTATGCAGTTTGTTTTTAATCTCCTTTCTCTGCTATTTATGTTAAACTATTTTTATGTCTGAAATAATTAGTGTCCTTGTTCTCCTACATGTGTTTCATTTCATCCTCCTGTAACTTATTAGAAGTAGCTTGTTTGTTCAGGTTTTTCGTTGCCTGTCTCTTCTGTTCTTTACATGCTTCAAAGGTTGTCCACCTCACATGATACATAGGGCTTTTTAATATTCCTTCTGCAAAAACGATATGCGAATAGTTTGATGTCACCTTTTTGGATTTTAACCTCCAGCAACCTTGATGATGTCATTCAAAAAGAAAACATAACTGATGCAATTGCAGGGATGTGTAAATAGCAGTGTACTGTGTGTGTAATTACCTTTGTACAGGCCACAGCGACCCAGTGGCATCGTAACTGTCGGGTTGGGAGTGGCGTAGAAGAGGTTGAGGTGATGGGGATTTCACTTTATGTATTGTGTACTGATATCTTGTACAGTTCTTTAACACACTTTATTTACAACAGTATTTGTGTATATTTTATGAAGTAATAAAAATGAATAATGTTGCTCACAAGTTTTCGCAGACCTTTTCTTGCTCTTCTTATGCTCACTGCAGCTTATATAAGTTTTTAAGGTGGTGTGTTTGCACATGCAGTGCAGTCCAGCTTGTACAAAGTTACATCATGGTCAATGGCAGAGACCCAAGGAAATGTCATGACGTCGGTGACAGCGATCGAATTTTGGATTGTTGCCAGAATGTGGTGCCACTTCTAATGGCAGAGCACACTTTAACCCATCATATTATGTACTTTTTTATATCAAATCTGTATTGGCGATACATAAAATATACAAACTAGGAGTCATTAATACAGACGAAACAACATCAGAGCCACAGAAATCAAGAAAACAAGGAGCACACTTTAACAGTTTTATGCAGCTTTTTTATTCTTTGAGTCAAAAATGGTGTTTATGTGCTGTTTAGTTTTATTTTCAAAAGCTAAAAATGGAAGTTAAGTGGCTAAATTTGGATTTAAGAATATGATACTTTGCTAGATTGATCATCAAAGTGATTATGTGTAATTCTTTGTTGAATATATATACCTCTTGAATATATATATATATATTCAACATAGAATGCACGTATGTTTATTGTTATTTGATTGATTGATTGATTGATTATTTTTATTTACGTGTCATGCACAAAGTGCCCAACCCTCATGGGTTTATAAGACACCAAAAAAAAAGTACAGTTGCAGTGTACATTATTATTACTATTATTATTATTATTTTTTTTTTTTTTCATTTCATACATAATTACAGCCCCTTTTACGGCTCAGACTTTAAACAGAATATTCTGCCTTCTCTCCCAAGCTTTACAAATAAAATCTGCAACAAAAAAGATTCCCTTTCTAAAACACAACTCAAGTTTCTCATACTCGTCCAGCCAAAAGAAATCAGCATAAATAGAGGACATTTTAATAAAAAATACATCCCTCAAGTCCTCATAAACAAGACAGTAAAACAGGAAATGGACCTCACTCTCAGTTTCACCGAGCTCACACACCTGACAAAGTCTGTCCTCCTCTGGAATGGCATTAAACCTGCCGGTCTCTAAAGCCAAGGGTAATGTTCCTGAACGTAACTGTGCACATAATGTTCTTTGTCTTTTGTTTAAATTATACTTCACATACATTTCAACATCATAACAGTTTTTTATGAGACAGTAAGTTCGTAATTTTGGTTTATACCATATGTCGACATATATTCTTGTCATTATTGTATTGATATTGTAGTAACCATTATAGCACAATACATATTTCTGTGTAACACGAGTTTATAGTGGCATATTCTGTATTATCAAGAATAGTATAGTCAAGAAAGGTGACTCCACCAGGATCATTAGTATTTTTAATTAAAGATTTTTTTTTTTTTACGTAAGTCTTGTTTTTCCATATAAATTTGCACTTGGTGTGATGTAAATGTGTGTGTTTGATTCCTTGGTATTGGTCTTCACAGTTTCCTTGGAAGACACTTGGAAAAACAGAAGTCGTGACTGCGCATGCGCCAACAGCAGCAGAGTTTTCACAGGCAGCTGCTGTTGGTACAGTGAATTGCTGATGGTGATGTGGACGGAATAACGGTGCTAGGCTCATCAGCGCTGGGTGGGAAGTGGCGAGATAAAACCGGGTGTTTTTTTTATCATTTTAATAGCGTAATTGAATATTTCGCTTCTTAAAGGCGTGTTATATCTCTTTGCTGTGTTTTGACTCTACGACGAGCAGCGACAACAAGCTAGCGCCGGGCTAAAGGCTAGCTAACGTTAGCTAGCAGCACTCGCGGATTGATAACGCTCAGCTGCCGACACTTGCCAGCTTTATAAAAAGAGGCAAGTTTCCTGGGCGTCAGACAATAATGCAGCGGTTAGATTAGAGGCTGGGTTTCGTCTGAATGTTAGCGCCTGGCCTGTTAACTTTGTCTACTCCGAAGGGTTTGCAGTCGACTTGAGATGATGAGCTAAATTGATGCTTTGATTCCGAGCAACGCAGATCAAACAACTGCAGAGGAGGTGAGTGAAGCAGGAGGATGGAGTCATTACTGAACATCAGCTGCCATTTTATTCAGTTTAGCGTGTTTTCTTAACTCACAGACTGTTTCTGTGTAATTAAAATAAACAGAGCTGGAGTAAATATTGTCCCTGGTGGGTTTTCATAAACTATGATGTCACCCTTTTCTAAAATGCAGCACTGAAGGCTGAAAGCTGGGAAACCTGCCCCCTCATTGTTTGTGGGGTTTGTTCTCGCTTCACTCAATTGAAATGAGTTGTGGTCACTGTTAAGTAGCCCTGTGGTCTCCACTGACCCTGATTGAACACAGCGTCAACGGCCTGATGCTTTGCAGTATGTGTCAGGCAGCTGTCCTCGCCTTTGCCTCAGGACATACAGTATGTTGGTTTGTCACAAAGGCTGCTGATTCGATTCAGGTCAAAGTACAATGCATGTTTTGAAACCGACCCACGGGTGCAGTCAGCAGGACTGATGAGTTGCCTCTGTGGCCCACTGGGAAGCACCCAGCTTTGTTGTTGTAAGATGCCAGCTGGTGCTTGTATGAACTCAGACCTGACCCTGAATTCTGATTTTCTTTGGATGACATGTACATGGATATATGTTTTTAATAAGACAACCTGCTCTGTTTGTTTACATGAGTCCAACTATGGGTGGTAAACAAGTAGAATCCATTTTCAGGCTCTAATCTCATCCATCAGGATAGGCAATTAGGCCAAAAATATATTATGATAAATGGTAAGACCTTCCCCAAATAAAAGTATATGGTACATCTGTTTGGACACAGCTGCTAAATAGTCTGCTTGATATTGATCACATTAAAATGGATTATTATTATTACAGTGAGTCAAACTGGAGCTGTTGCAATATCAGAAATCATTGTGTGAGAAATTTCAAATTTATATAATTATACATTTTTATAATTTAATATTTAACATATTTTATAAATATTTTATTTTTATTATTTAATTATTCTATTTTATACATATTTATTATTATTTTATTTTTTATATATATTTGACCCCTTTTTTGTCTTCTTTTTCTCTGCACGGTGCTCTGTGTATTTCTTGGTTTTTATTGGATTATTTTTCACTGACTGCTCAGTGAACGTCCTGCTGTCGTTAATCTTTTTTCATATTTTTTTGCATAATGTTAGTTTAATTCTTTTTTCTACTTTTTACCTATTTTTTTGTAATTCTCTGTTTTCTCAAGTTGAGGGAAGGTCTGTTTGTATAAGCCTGCCGCCTCTTGACCTCTACTGACACATTTCTTTTTTTTACTATTTGGATTTTATGCAGTTTAATGTGTGTAAAAATTAAAATAAAAATGCTTTTAATTAAAAAAAAAAAAGATTATACACCGATACACTGCCCAGCCCTAATTACGCCAATTTAAAAAATACTGAAACACAGTAAATTCATAATCTGGCAGATATTTCTCTCATAAAACAATCCAGGTATACAGAAAAACATGTTGTTGAAGTTCCTTTGCCAAAGTACTTAAACATACTCTGATGATGTGTTCCTGGTTGCTGCATTTCCACAAGCTGATTGAAGCTTTGGCAGGCAGCGTGAGTCATCCATAACCACATTGAGCGCCATCCTATATTTAGCTGGTACACAGGGGGGTTTGAAAGTCATTGTGAAATTAGTTTTCACTGTGAATGATTAGATTATCGCCTTCCTGGAATCCACACCAAGACACTGGGTTAGTTGGAGAGATGACAGATCTGCTATGATTTGATCATGCGGGTGGTGGTGGTGGCACATGGAGCGTCTTTTTGGATGCTTTGATGTTGCAAGATCCAGTTTGGCCAGTCTTGTTCTTGTAAGTCTACATAGGTACTGACTAATTATGTGGTTCACATCACTTGTTTTATTTTCACTTCCTATAAATCATTTTTTGAAATTTCAAGACATGGATATTTTCCAGTTGAAGTGGAAGTATCAACACTAATGTGCAATGCGACAATAGTGTTGATACAGTGCAAGTGGTGTAGTGGTAGTTGATGAGGTGGGTGTTACTGAGGAGGAAGTGGGTACGTTCTCCTATATACAGTACAGGCCAAAAGTTTGGACACACCTTCTCATTCAATGCGTTTTCTTTATTTTCATGACTATTTACATTGTAGATTCTCACTGAAGGCATCAAAACTATGAATGAACACATGTGGAGTTATGTACTTAACAAAAAAAGGTGAAATAACTGAAAACATGTTTTATATTCTAGTTTCTTCAAAATAGCCACCCTTTGCTCTGATTACTGCTTTGCACACTCTTGGCATTCTCTCCATGAGCTTCAAGAGGTAGTCACCTGAAATGGTTTTCCAACAGTCTTGAAGGAGTTCCCAGAGGTGTTTAGCACTTGTTGGCCCCTTTGCCTTCACTCTGCGGTCCAGCTCACCCCAAACCATCTGGATTGGGTTCAGGTCCGGTGACTGTGGAGGCCAGGTCATCTGCCGCAGCACTCCATCACTCTCCTTCTTGGTCAAATAGCCCTTACACAGCCTGGAGGTGTGTTTGGGGTCATTGTCCTGTTGAAAAATAAATGATCGTCCAACTAAACGCAAACCGGATGGGATGGCATGTCGCTGCAGGATGCTGTGGTAGCCATGCTGGTTCAGTGTGCCTTCAATTTTGAATAAATCCCCAACAGTGTCACCAGCAAAACACCCCCACACCATCACACCTCTTCCTCCATGCTTCACAGTGGGAACCAGGCATGTGGAATCCATCCGTTCACCTTTTCTGCGTCTCACAAAGACACGGCGGTTGGAACCAAAGATCTCAAATTTGGACTCATCAGACCAAAGCACAGATTTCCACTGGTCTAATGTCCATTCCTTGTGTTTCTTGGCCCAAACAAATCTCTTCTGCTTGTTGCCTCTCCTTAGCAGTGGTTTCCTAGCAGCTATTTGACCATGAAGGCCTGATTGGCGCAGTCTCCTCTTAACAGTTGTTCTAGAGATGGGTCTGCTGCTAGAACTCTGTGTGGCATTCATCTGGTCTCTGATCTGAGCTGCTGTTAACTTGCGATTTCTGAGGCTGGTGACTCGGATGAACTTATCCTCAGAAGCAGAGGTGACTCTTGGTCTTCCTTTCCTGGGTCGGGCCTCATGTGTGCCAGTTTGGTTGTAGCGCTTGATGGTTTTTGCGACTCCACTTGGGGACACATTTAAAGTTTTTGCAATTTTCCGGACTGACTGACCTTCATTTCTTAAAGTAATGATGGCCACTGGTTTTTCTTTAGTTAGCTGATTGGTTCTTGCCATAATATGAATTTTAACAGTTGTCCAATAGGGCTGTCGGCTGCGTATTAACCTGACTTCTGCACAACACAATTGATGGTCCCAACCCCACTGATAAAGCAAGAAATTCCACTAATTAACCCTGATAAGGCACACCTGTGAAGTGGAAACCATTTCAGGTGACTGACTACCTCTTGAAGCTCATGGAGAGAATGCCAAGAGTGTGCAAAGCAGTAATCAGAGCAAAGGGTGGCTATTTTGAAGAAACTAGAATATAAAACATGTTTTCAGTTATTTCACCTTTTTTTGTTAAGTACATAACTCCACATGTGTTCATTCATAGTTTTGATGCCTTCAGTGAGAATCTACAATGTAAATAGTCATGAAAATAAAGAAAACGCATTGAATGAGAAGGTGTGTCCAAACTTTTGGCCTGTACTGTATATACCTATGGCTTTTTGGCTGATAAAGTAAACGCACAGAAAAAGAGGTATATCTGCATGTACCCTCCACTACACCACTAGTTACAAACCCAATATAGACAGTTCAGCTGGTTTTGGACTGTGCAGTGCTGCACAGTTGCCTTAGTTGTATGAATGTTGGGAACAACTGAAGCACAAATATGATACTTTAAGCCACTCAACACTGGAAAAAGTTATCAGACGGATTGTCCCGTCTTTACCAGCTACAGCTCAGGGGCCGTATTCACAAACATTCTGAGAAAACTCTTAATATCCCCTTTCCACCAACACAAAATGGGTTCTCGTTCCCGTTCACAAACCTAATTTGGAATCTTTCGGAGCATTTCGTCTTAAAGTAAATTGTTCTGGAACCCGAAAACTTGGTTTCAAGCTGGAACCAAAAAACAGCAGGTGTCTCTTGACCTGAAGTTCAAACTGTGAATACATTAGTGGGTGTGTCATATTCAACAGATTGGAAAGAGAGGATGCACGTAATAGTCTTGCAAGTCTTATTATCACATATCACATATATGTAGAACCGAAAGGTAGCTCAAGTTCTGGCACTGCTCGTATTAATGCGACTGTTGTTCATTAAATTCATCCATTCTCAACTGTAATCTTTCTGTGGTCTTAAGAACAGTATCCTTAGTAAATTAAATCTTCCCCTGTCTGTTATATTCCCTGGAGCGATACCTAGTATGAACAGTTATGGGTCTAAGACGAAGTCAGTACCCAAAATCTTTCTGATCTCTCTTTGAGTCATCTTCCAGAAGTCTAGGATCTTTGGATAATCCCGAAAATATGTGTGTAAAATCCCCTACCAGTCCACACCCCCGCAGCATATCTCAGATGTGCTACTGTACTTTGAAGTGACCAATGGAGTTTTAAAATATCGCATTTTCTCCATAGAGTCAAATTCCCTCCTTACAGGACTATTGGTTAATTTATGTCCAGTTTCAAATGTTTCCTTCCATTTACCATGTGTTATTACAATGTTTATTTCCAACTCTCATTTTTCTTTGACATCCGAGTTATGCTTTTTTTGTGGATAAAACATATATTTGAAACTAGTTTGGGTCTTCATATTTAAGCGCTGTAGTTGACTGTGTTGTCACTCTGCTGATGTAAGGTTGAGACAGACCCAAGTCATCACGGCTGCACTTAGTCATTTTCCCAGTTGCAAATATCTTAGCGTTGCGATCACTTCATTTCTGGTGTTGTAGCTTATTGCTTTGGGCAGGGAAAATGTGCACATCTCTAATGAGATCAACCACAGACATTATCCCTGCGTAATCTAATCTGTGGCATTTTATTAACTCACTGCCATTCAGCTTTTGGAGAATATTTCTTATGCCTCTTTGTCTTTCCACCATTTTCTCTGTAAAGTCCTCCTCTCTACTCCTAATAGTCTTTCACCTCAGGAGCTCCCTTAAGATGCTTGGTGAATATTTTTTTTATCTTTACCAGGATTTAGTCTGAACTGTGAGGGGAATTCTTAGAAAACATCATAGGAGCTTTGTATTTGGAAGCTTTGCGAATACAGCCCTGGTTTAATCACTCCTCCCTTTTCATAAAACAGATTTGTGGAGTAGAAAAGAAACTGGTAAGAGCAAGTTTATCCATTTTAGAGAGTGTGCATTTGGATGAGGTTACATTATCTTTTTACAGTTGTTTTACTCTTTCAGTTTTTTGTCAATAACCTGTCGTATTGCAGCGTCGACCTCAGGCCACACTCCTAGGTCTCTGGAGCCTGAATTTTGGTGCTTATTTGTGTATAGGTGGTTAATTATTCTGAAGAAAAATGTCCATGTTTAGTGCCATTTTTTAGGCTACATTACACTTCCTGCTTCCACAGCAAAGCACAGAGAAAAAGAAGGGGAGAAATTGGGTCAGCAGCCCTCAGCTCATTGCTGTCACACTGATTTGCTGTGTTTGAGTGATCCCCCGCCCCCCCATGTGTTGGTGTGTGAGCTTTTTTATGCTTTTTCAGCCTCTCCTCACCCACCTACTTTATGCCTCCTCACTCCTTCTGTTTTGATCTCGCTTCATTTGTCTATCCACACATTCTCTTTTGCACCGTGATCTGTGCAGCGTCCTACTTTGCTCTGTATCTTTTTTTGTTTTCTCATTCTAACATGAGCCGATGTTGGCTGGAGATTTAGGTCTTAGACTGTGCAGGCCTGTCGAGATGCATTTACACATCGCAGTGATTCATTCAGGCTGTATATCCCCGAGCATCAGGTTGTGCAGCAGCTTAGTATTGATCACAGGCTGCTACATATTTAAAATGTCTAGGATAAATTAGTTTGCATAACCTAAGGGGCATTGTCTTTGATTAGGTCTCGTTTTACCCTTTTGTCATACAGATGGGTCAGCTTTGGCGGAGAGACATCGCCCTCTCAGAGAGGCTGGGGAATGACTCTCCTGTCGGCTTCGCCCCCGGGCCTCCAGCCACGGTGGCCCCACAACAAGCCAACTCCTCCTGGGTACCAGAAACCCCAGTGGCCACACCAGAAGAGCCGTTTTTCCTCATGACCTCCACTGCCCAAACTATATCGGGCTTTTTCGTTTGGACAGCTCTTCTGATCACATGTCACCAGGTAAGGACAACATGACAGTTTGATGATGTAGTGGTCACTAAACTTAACTTACAACTTTAAGATTTCAGTTTCTGTCTCCGCAACTATTTATTCTGTCCAGCAACAGCTGTGTGTACTGTTTAAGTGCCTATCAGAAGGTGAAATATGATCTTGGAAGTCAAGTTAGAATAATAGATTTGTGAGTTTAAAAGATTTTCGGCTGCACTATTACCCGTCTGAACACAGCCTACGTATCGTAAAGCAAGAAACTAAAGCCCTATCTCATCGTGTGTCCTTCTGGATAAGAGTAGCAGCTAAATAGAAAGTATGAATAACTGGTTGCATCTGTTTTCTTGCCTTTGCTCACAGCCTTTAGGCAAAGGGTTACAGGAACACAGGAATAAAACCTGAATCTTGCTCATGAGCCTTTGGGTCGATCCACTGTTCTCCCTCTTTTTCTTAAACCCTCATGTACTGAAGGTGGGTTTGTTGAGTACAAGTAGCTCCTTTTCAGCAAAAGAAAAAGAAAAACAGTAGACATATTCACACCCAGGAGCATTTTTCCACGAGCCCCTGTTCATCTAAGTCTCTCTCTATGTGTGTTCACACACTAAACACATGCACGCACTCACACAGTTTCACATCCTGTTGGAAGAAGGCTTCTTTTTCCGTGTTGCTGGTCCACACTACTTGTTGCACACTGGCTTAAAGCTGAGCCCAGGATTTTATGCTTCATCCATATTTAGTGTTTGTATCAATGGGATGAAAAAACTGTTTTTATCAACCAAATTCTTATGAATGACAAAAGCTGGATTAACTAGACTGTTTTGGGGAAGTGTACCATCAGAATCAGTAGTTCCTCTTATGCCTGGTTTCCACATAGCTCCGTGTACATAAGCGAGTCAACTGGAAGTCTTTTCATTCCTGTGGAAACCTTTTGTGATCACTAGTTTGCCAAATTCCTTCTACCTTTTTTTTTTATTTAAAATTTGCCTTGAAATTAATTTGAACTTCTGTGGCAGATTTCAGACAGACTGTGTGCACTGTGTGCCACAGGAAGTCAGCATAAAAACATATCACCTAACAGGCTGTTCAGTTTAGTTCAGTTGGTTTTGACTTTGTATAAGTGTAAAGTTTAACAGCATATTTAGCTGGCATTGGTTGCATGCTAGCTGTGTAACATATAGAGTGCATGCATAGCGGTTCATACATCTTAAAACAAAATATTTCACAAACTGGCTACAAACGTGGCAGGCCAACCTCCTCACCTATTTGTCACTATGCATTATTGGTCCTGTTTTTGTCTTAATAAAATGCCTCATGCACATATTCCACAAGATTTGATGACGAAAAGAAAGACAAAATCAACTTTTCCCCCTCTTCTGTGGTGGTGTTTTTATCCATCTGTAAAGAGATGCATGTTTTGTGTCGAACACTAGGGTGCCTACTTCTTGTACTATACGGAACTATGGACACAAAACAAAACTTCGTAGAAACAAGTCATTAAGCATTAAAGGGACAGTTCACCCCAGAATCCCAAATACATATTTTTGCTGTTACTTGTAGTTCTGTTTATCAGTCTAGATAGTTTTGGTGTGAGCTGTCGAGCATTGGAGATGTCGGCTGTAGAGATGTCTGCCTTCTCTCCAATATAATGGAACGAGTTGGCACACAGCTTGTGGTGCTCATGATTTCAACTGGGAAATCATGACCCGGTTACTCAAGATAATCAACAGACCTTGTTGTGAGCAGCTTCATGTAGGAACTATTTTCTTTCTACTGAGCTACCTACATTTGCCAACTGAATCATTGCACAGAAGGAAATGTGCATCTACTGCTAGCTTACCTAGCACCAGTGAGCTAGCTAACGTTACAGCTCAGCCAAGGAAGAGGGCAAGTAGATGAGCGCTTCCTTTCTGTGGTGATACTGTGTCTGTGGATTATCTTGAGTAAGCGGGTCGTGATTTCTGGAAAGAGGCATTGCTTCTTTTAAAATGTATTTATTGACGCTTTAAGCACCACAACCCAAGTGCCATCTAGTTTCATTACAATGGAGAGAAGGCAGACATCTCTACAGCTGATATCCGTTGGGGATATCAGCTGTAGAGATGTCTGCCTTGGCAACTCACACCAAAACTATCTAGACTGATAAACAGCACTGAAGATAAGAGGAAATATATTTATTTGTGATTTTATAGTGAACTGTCTCCTTAAGCATTTGACACAAATGATAGGACTGCCTCTCAAACTATGTGTGTAGTTTTTTGTTTGTTTTCAAGAGTCACGAGTATGTCACTACTTGATTGCCAGCAGTAGAGAGATGGCAGGAAATGGGGGGAGAGAAAGATAAGGAATAACATGTCACAAAATGCCCCTGGCTGGATCAAACCAGAGATGTTGCAATTCCCAGTGACACCAGTGAGCCCCCACGTGCCAAGATTGATCGCCTGAGGTTGAATATGCCCCCGAAACACACCCAGTATGTGCCAAATACCTCAGGTAGCCTATGGCAAGACTCCAGAAAATCAAGTTGTATAGGGACATACTTAATTCTCCTGTGATTTGATGGTTCAGAATAGTGTTATAAACCTCTGGAGAATGGAGATGTTAAGTGTCAGTGGTGCAGATAAGTGCAGTATAGTGCATAAGTGCCGTTTGCCTTGTTTGGATCAGTTTATCCGCCCTCATGTTACAGTAAAGCATTTAGTAAGCATCCCTTTTATTTAAGGCGGATCTCTTGTACCCCGAGGCTTAGGTAATTGATTTGTCCTCCATTGTTCGTCACATACCGGCTTAAAGAAGAGCCCTCTGTCACTCTGGCAACAGGTGTTCCTGGCTCGACTTCAACATAAAAGAGCAGAGGATGTGTGTGTGTGTGTGTGTGTGTGTGTGCCGAGGAGGGAGGAGGGTCACCTAGCAACAAGCCCTGTGAGCGGAGTGCACCGTCTCGCTTGGTGTATTGTCAGCCACTGTTTGTTATTTTACCAAAGGTGTGTGTCTGTTTACAGACCAGGAAAGGTGATAGGTGGGGACATTGTGTAAGTGGAAAGGAGCCGGATGGAGCAGACAGAGGTGCTGGTGACAAAGGCCCACCCCGTTCTTCCTGCTGTCTGCTGCTCTCAATAGGAGTGATAAAAAGCCTAGTATCAATTACCCACAACAACCCTATGTGTCGGTGCACGCACACTACACACCTTTCCGACACACAGGACTCCAATATCCAAATGCATACTCACTGTACTCTGACCTGTACAGACAGATGAGACCCCAATGAGAGTACATATACAGGTTTAATGGGACAGCAATTAGCATCGGCTAATCCACTCTGAGCCATGTTTGGAGCTGCGGTTTCACAGGGAGGAAGCTGATTAATATTTCCATCACAGTATCTTTTTTCTATTGTTTTTTAATGTGGCACAAATGTGTTTCAAATATTTAAAAAAAAACATCTGCAGTACAACAGGTTTGTGTGCACAAGGCTTGAGTTTTGAGGATATTTTGCTCATTTCAATTGTTCTGCTTTGCAACCTGCCAATCTGCTGCTCTTTAGTCCGACTCACCTGATGTAGACTGTAGCTTTAGGCCGGGACCCCCACTCCATTATGTTTGTGTAATTGTTCTCAGAACAACAAACAACAATGACCTCCAAGCTAACAACCTACATGCTTAAATAACAAGTTTTGACAAAGATTTGGATCGTGCAATCAAGCATGCCTGCTTTGTTCTTTCTGTGAATTGTAAAGATCTACAACAAATGAAAAAGCTTGTCAATCAGAAAAACCCAGACTCCGTCTCGCAGGACTCTCATGCCTGATGTTGATCCATTTTCTGCTATGGCCAGTTGGAGTCCATTTGCCACATCTTTTTACCCTGCTAGCTACATGCACCAGTGACAGTGACTACACCAGTGTTCTAGGGGTATGCCATATCATCTTGTTCACGATAATACCAGTATAATCTTTAATTTAACTGTGGCATCCTGAATGTCTTATGAACAGCCCTGGACTTCTCAGACTCTTTTAGTGACTTAGTGCTCAGAGGGAACTCATTCAGCAGCTCCTCTGGCAGCAGCACAGCGTCTCTCCCTCTCCTCCCTCACCGTGCGCACGCAGGAGTAGGCGTCATCAAGTGATTTTGTCATAAACCTTTGGTAATGTAAACCTATGTGACGCTCACGACTCAAAAAACTCCATGTATGTGAATGTGTGATAGTTGTGGTAAACTACTTTGTCATATTGTCAAGAATATCTTTTTGTCAGGAATTTAATGAAACACGTTTCCTCCTTTACACATAGAGTATAATAACTGGATGTTTTATGTTTGTTTGTGTATATACATATGTTCACATGTGAATGTTTATATGAACATTATGTCTTTGTTCCAGTGTGTGTCCTTCTTTATCTAATTTCACTTTTAGCTTATACGGTATTTCTAGAGGAAGGAGCTCTGTTGCAAAGTTAAGTGATTCAATATGATGTCATCAAGAAAAAAACATTCCAGCTGCTCCCATAGAAACTTGTGAAAGATTGATGTCCTAGACAAGTTAAAAAGGGTTCACACGGGTCCTTGAAATCCTTAAAAGGTTGTGAATTTGAGGGGGACAGAACCAAGGCCTTGAAAGTTTCTGATAATAGACAGAAAGTACTTGAATTTATATTTTATTTTTATGCAGTAATAGAAATTAAAGTTCTTCTGATATATTTTTTTATTTACAATTAGTAGATGGTGTCTCAAACTATGTTGGGGCCTTGAATTTGAATGAATTGGGCCTGGAAAGTCCTTGAATCTAATGTTTAAGAGGGTATGGGGACACTGGTTAAAAGTAAAAACCTGCTGGTTTTGTCACACTGACGCAAAAAAATATGGTCTTGCTCCCAACGACCCTGCTGCATTCAGTCACGTTCCACACATTATTACTAACTGGGGCAGAGTGTGATGTCTGATGACATCAGATGTCAGATTCGCTTCAGTTTCAGGCTCTGGGAGTGACTCAACTGTGCACCAAATTTGTGACAGAATCATAAAATATTAACATCACGTAGATATTTGCTATTCACTTGCTAAAGCACATACGTTCCAGTTACTTGTGTTTTTTACTCATTGCATATTCCTTATTAAATAACAGTGTCTTTCAGTGCCGCGTTATTCAAAGATTTCTAACCTTTTTTCAACCTCTTATCTTTCTCTTAGATCTACATGCACCTACGTTACTACAGCTCTCCAAATGAGCAGAGGCACATAGTCAGGATCCTCTTCATAGTCCCCATCTATGCCTTCGACTCCTGGCTCAGCCTTCTTTTCTTCACCAATGAGGAGTATTACGTGTACTTTGACACAGTCCGAGACTGCTACGAAGGTGAGCAATGAGCCAAAACATCAGCGTTTTGTGTTGCAGGCTGGAGTATACGCTGCCATATTTGGCATGCAAACAGCAGCATATTCACCACAGCACTGGGAGCGAGTGTTTTGTGTTCCAGTGTGTCTTTTGACTCCCAGTAGAAATAAAGGGTGTGAGAATTTATGTGCTGTTGATACCCCAGTGGCAGATGGCCTTTGTAGTGTCTTCGTTTCCAAAGGTTGCCATCTTTGTCCTCATGTCTCCGTGGCCTCTTGGGATTGCAGGGGAGGGGAAACCTGTTTCCTAGCAACTGTATGAAAATGAACAAATCCTTGAGAAGACTTTTAAAAGGCATCTCACATGTGAGCAGATAAATCGTAAGCTTGTTCTCTGTATCACCAGACTGTAAGGCATCTACTATCACTGGAATTTCTCAGTATTAATACAGATTTTGAGAATAATTAAGAATGAATAAATCATTTATATAGCATCCTGTGATTATGATTATGGCAATTTCCTGTTTTATTAGGGTAATTGCCTCAACAGGCTTGTAGTGCTGAAACTATTAGTTAATCTGCAGGAAGATCCCAAACATCAGCTGGTTCTCATTATGAGAATTTGCTTGAACTTCTGGTTAGATAATCCCTTTGAAGGCCTCAGATTTAGAGCTTGTAGGGGGCTTTTGTCACTATTTTCTGACATCTTATGGGCTAAACAATAAAGTAATTCAATAAGAACATACTTGACAGATTGATTAAAAAATAAAAACAGTGTTTAGTTGCTCCCCTGCATGCATTAATAATATCAAGGTATGGGCAAAGCTGCTGTGAGCAGTGGAAGCTAATGGTTTTGTCAGTCTGCTGTATTCTGTAGTGTACACCTGCCTTGTAGAAGGTGTACAATGGCTGAGAGATGGCATGGTACAGCAGCGCCTGTGGCCTTGATGTATTGTTAAATGTAGAGACAGACACATTTAATACTGCTGCTGTTCATATAGACAACAATTAGTGCCATCTGCTGCAAGTAAGGCTGCTTTCAGACCTAGAGTCGTCTTGCTTTGGTCCGAATCAGGGACTGATTTTGTTACAAAGTTGTATAACTGCCTAGAGTTGGTTCTTGTTCTCACGGCAGCATTTACAAGAGGACCAGATTAAATGCCTTGTGTGAGAAAGCTGCTCTTGATTGGTCAGAATTTCCAAGTGGGAAAAATCCAGGAAGTAAAGCAAACGTTGAAGAAGAGTACACTTGCAAGATAAATGTGACACTTTCTAATGTCACAATGGAGGGACAACTACGCAGGTTGATTTTAGCGCTGCTCATCGTGGACTATATTGCTGTCATTGTTCATTTTAGTCAAACCATACAGTTTGAAAATGAGGCGCGGCTCCAACTAGAAAACAATGTTTTGATGCATTGGATGTGCTGAATGTGCATATTAAGGCAGTACAGGAGGAGGTGCACATTAATAATCCTCCAGGACTGTAACATGCTCATGTTTAACCCAAACAATGTGTCATGTGACTGCAGTTGGTTCAGATCCAGGTCAGAACATGTTCTCACCACAAACGAATCGCACCAGAGTTCATTTATAACCGGACCGAGACCACCTCTTCAAGAAGGTCCTGGTCTGGTTGTTTTGGTGCACACCTGAGTGTGATTGCTGTGTTCACACCTGCCCAAACTAACTGCAATAAGGGGGTAAACGCACTTGAGTTCGATTGAACCAAACCAAAGTTAGTCAGGGTTCCCACAGTCCTGAAATTCCTGGAAAAGTTATGAAATTAGACACACTATTTTCCAGGCCTGGAAACAGTTTGGAATTCGCAAAATGTTTTGGAAATGTTTAGAGCGTAAATTGTTCCGGCCAGGAGGAACACATTGTTTAAAATGTGTTCATAAAAATACGTTCCTTGTATCAGTATTTAAAATGTTGTGCTTCTCCATGTGACCGTTGAAACATCGCTAGTATCGCGTGATACGCAGAGATCAGACCCCTCACAATCCTCCCCTCACCTCACAATTTAGTCCATATTATAGAATAAATAAATGGTAGAATAACATGTGGAAGTAGAGGTTAGTGTGGATGCCGAAAGATATGATCGAAGTGACAGACAACTAGCTTTATTTAGACACAGAACTGACATGGTAAAGATCTAGATTAATGACTAAGACATTTATATTGTTGCTCTTATTAGTAACACTTTATATTTATGTTCTCAAAATGCTTGTCTAAATTATTTTCATCTGCCAGCCCTGCTCAAGCTAAAAGCAGTGAAAGCACACTTAACAGTAAAAAAAAATTACTGTATGTGTAGTTATGCAACATTAACAAAGCCGGCACTGTGCTGCTGACTGTGTTCTGGCAGGGGTTGTCAGTGTGCTTCAATCACAGGCTCACTTTTAAACCCAGCCACTCTAAACAGCAAAGAGAGCCGAGGCAGGGGAGCTGGTATCTGTGGGTTACCCTTAAATTAGCCTGAGAACACCTGGGGTAGCAGATGCAAAAACATTCTGCTCTCTCAGGGACACCAATTACTGGGATCAGTATGGAGTCCAGTCAGGTTTATTTAAATCGTATGTTACTTCTTATTAGTGTGTGCAGAATAGCCAGTAAATTATTGACAAGCACACAGGATATGACATCCTGTACACATTTTTGAGAATACCTGTCTAAATGTATAAGAAGGATAGATTTTAAAGGTAAGAGCAGGTTGTCAGTGTCAAAACATTCATGAAAGAGGACCTATTATGCTCATTTCCAGGTTCATACTAATATATTGGGTTTCTCTTAGAACATGTTTACATGCTTTAATATTCAACGACAACGACACCTCCTACCATGTAAAGTAACCAATAAATGGTTCCAAACACAACCGGACATGTTCTAGCAGGAATATAATTGGAAATAAGGGTGAAATTAACAACAACAACGGCAACCTGACGTTAGCATGTTGCTACAGTAGCGGTAAGCTTGCTGCCGGAGAATAACTGTGTATAGCAGCACTTTCCTATAAAAGAATCACAATTAGAAACACAATCAGACATGTTCCAGCAGGAATCTGATCCAAAACTGGGGAGAAATTAACAACATATGCAACCAAAGCCTCTTTTACACTTCCTGTTCAAGGCGCGATTGTTGCGCCGTTATTGCACCTAGCCCTACTGCATAACAGGTACGTTCGCAGAATGGGGGGAGGCAGAATTGTCTTGCGACTGAGCTGGTACGGAGGTAGTAACAGCTGAAATTATGTCTGTATAAACGGGACAGCCAGCAGGACGGGATCATGGGTTGCACGGGTGTGATGTTTTGATAATGTGTTATGCATGTGATTGCAGTTAGTGGCTAACTCATAAAAGAACAGCAGCCAAAAATGTCCGCAAGTTGGGAAAACAATGAGGTCCAGAAGCTTGTACCATTCGAGCAGAGGACGAAATCAGTGCCATGTAACAGATTTCATAAATGATTGTTATTGCCACGTTAATGCCATTGTTGTTTAGAGAGAGCTGCCGACGCATGTGCTATATATCACACTAGAGGTCGATGCTGTTGTGTTTCATGTCACACCTGTCACGCCTCTTTTGAATCCGCGATGCCAGCATGCTGTCTAAAATCATGCGGAACGATGCTGCTGTGTTTGATTCTGTGTAAAATGCAAAGGCAGCATAAAGAAGGGACTTTATAGTGGCCCTATTACATGTTTCCTGGACATTAGCTTGTAGCTACATGTACATTAGCAGTCACTTTGCAGCCAGGGTAGAGCTGCACTTTCTCCCATTAGAAATTATCAATAAAAATTTCTAAACCCAACCAGAAATATGATCATAAATCAGGAAGAAATTAACATTAGTAACATTTCCCTGACATTAGCATGTAGCTACATGTAGCATTGTAGGCTATGTTATGTAACTACTTGTAGTAACTTGGCTGGAGCAGATGACCATACAAAGAAAGCTTGTAGCCAAATGAAAAAAACCCTTGGAAACAGAGAATTGGGAACAGTCTGAAGCCGGAGGTTTATGCTCACAGGGATTACTTTTACTTATATTTACCTCATTTGAAAATGTGGCAATGTTTAATATAAACACCCAACATTATAACGTTACATATGCAACAGAAAAAGCATAATAGGTCCCCTTAAAAGAGCACCAGCCATGACAGTTGTGTCAGTGTTGCTGTCTGCATTGATTACATATCAGGTGTGACCAGTGGATAGAACATCAGTGATTTGACACAGATCTGGTGTAGCTTCACATTTAGGCCCATGATGCTGTGGAAGGATAACACAAAGAATCCCATGCTAGAGTGTGATTTTTATCTTTATTAGCAGTAGTTATGTAACACATTACATGAGTGAATATCAGCCTTGAAGATGTGCCACTCACTTGTGTAAGATCTCTGTTGTTTATCTGAACAGTTTGTATTATGTCACATTGCTATGTGGCAGTGTCACATGAACATGGCCTTTCTTAAGCGTTCTGCTTTCTTCAGCAGTGTTTCCACAGACGTCCCATTATCACACCACTTCACTTCTGCTCCCAGCACTACAGAACTATACCTTACAATTATGCCTAAGCTTATAGCTCACTCACAACATTACCCAATCATTTCTGAGCCTGCTGATGGGGGTGAATCACCTCTCGGGGCTTGAAATGGCAGGCTCAGCAGCTCTGGAACAAAATCAACAGAACAAAACTGTAATTATGACAGTTACATCAATTGTTGACAACACTGTAAAACTAACCGACTGCCCCGTTAACTATCACGCATCAGTATATTTTTTGGAGAATAGAAATATCCAGTCTTTCCAAACCGACATCAGCAATGTTGACATGATATTTTTGTAAAAACCTTTGTATAAATGCAGTTAGGTTTTGGGGCTCTGCTCAGGTTAGAATTATCTTCAGATTTTCACCAGCTAGAAAATAAGAAGAAGAAGAGAAAGAAGAAGAAAAACTTTAGTGTTAAACACCTACAAGTCGTGCAGCTCAAAGTGCTTTAAAATAAGGAACAGAAGCAAGATAATAAAAACCGACAGATTAGCACAAGGGCAAATACTGTGAGTTAAAACCAAGCAATCACATGTATAACAAACAAAAGACGCAGCACATAGCAAGAACAGGTGTGTCAGACATAAAATCAAAAACAAAGAAGACATATAAATAACAAAACATGTATAGCCTTGGGAGCCTTAGCCTTTGGTGCTTAGTTTAAAAAGGCCAAGCTGACAATTTTCTTATTCGTGTCAGAGTTTGTGTTTTTTTAAATCACAGCAGAGGACCTAAGAGTCAGTAAAAGATTACAAGAAGACAAGGAATTAATAATATACAGAGTTCCCACAGTTATGGAAAAATTGGAAAGGACATGGAATGTCACAATCACATTTTCCAGGCCTGGAAAAGTCATGGAATTATGTTGTTTGTAATGGAACTGTTGCAGTAATCTTACATGGATAACCCTCCTTTTTAGGAGCAGAATATGCTTGAAGGAAAAACAGTTTTTGACTGCTGGAGGAGCTTGTTGCTGTGGGAGTTACACATGCGCATGTTTTTGAGTTATGGTTGGAAACATGTTCGAGTTAAATGGACACTGACAAGTTTGTAATGGAAAATAAATGAACGGAGCGTTCGACTGGCAAGTTTGACTTTGATTCATCAGACACAGAAACAATCAGAGCGTCAATTAAGTCATCCTGGTGCAGCATCTCAGTGGCTTAAAGTGTTGGCGTAGCCTCTACATCCTTGTAACGGCAAATTTATTTTCTGTAGCGACATAAAGTAAGTCTAATATGCATTGATGTGTGACAATGTTTTTTTCTTCCCGTGTTCCTTCTCTCTGTTCATATATGCCAGCTAGCTGAAGTTATGTTTGAGAATGATACGTCTGAAAAACACCAAGCAAGTGGGACAGGAAAAAAATATTATGGTTTCTTAAGAAGTCATGGAAAAGTGAAATTTTGTCAATGGAAATGTGTTGGAAACCCTGAATATAAGTCATCCTCAAACCATTAACAGCCTTGTAAACAGGTAAAAGAACTATACAACATTGGGAACCAGTGCAGGTTAGCTAAAACCAGGGTGATATGCTCTCTCTTTTTAATTCTGGGTGAAGCCTGGCAGCAGAGTTCTGAATTAGTTGTAGTGTATAAATGGATTGTTTTGGAAGACTATGAAAGAGAGCTTTACAGTTGTCTAATCTACTGGAAAACCACCCCCCTTTGGAGCCCTTGGCCCTCCCTCCCTATAAAAGGCTACAGCCAGTGAGCAATGGCAGCCATATTTTCGAAGTGAAATGGCAGAGTCAAATGTCTGTTTTAATTAGTGTTCCAGTAATGTTAGGCACACGTCGCTATGTCGATTCAATTAAATTTAATGTTACAATCGTAGCATGGGTTAATGTCCGGAGCTTGAGTTATTAGCGGCTCAGTCCCAGCAATGGGTCAGGCGTTACGGTTGTGTTAGGTGAGTAGCCCGGCAGCCCAGCTAACATTTGCAATTAGCATTGTAAAATGTAGCCCGGCGGGCAGCCTGGTGGGCTGTGTTTAGCTATTCCCCTGCCTACTTCATTGATGATGGTACCTGTAATAAATGTAATATATTTGCTGAGATGGAGGCGAGGCTCAGTGACTAGAAGAGCTGGTAGAAGCTCTCCATAGCTGTAAGTTACTCCAGTAGCCATAGCAGCTCTAGTGCTAGGGTGGAGAGCAGAGGTAGAGGGAGGTGTGGCTCATGACACACTTTGTTTTGGTCTACAGGCAGTGCACAACAGCAAACCTAGCTTTTTACCCCTTTAATATGCACAATGACTGAATTACATACATTGAGAAGTATTGTATTTCATGTCTCCATCTGCTGGTGGGCAGTCATAATAACAGTATACATGCATAATATGATTCCACGACAGAAGAGACCTGATGATTACTAAAATTTGGTGGGGAAAAAGTGGATATATTGATAATCAGTATCGGTTATTGGTCAAATGAGTTGTTACGTATCGGCATATCGGATATGGGCAGAAAACCAATATCATGCCTCCCTTGTGGTGCCATTTTCTTTCTATTTTCCTGACGAATTGGACATTCTTTTTATCTAATGCATCAAGCATCTTACTCCAGTCACAACATGTACATTTCGTGATTTTACAGACACTTACGGTCACCCCAAAAAAAACAATAACCTTTATTTTTTCTGTGTGACAGCCTTTGTCATCTACAACTTCCTGAGTCTGTGTTACGAGTATCTGGGAGGAGAGAGCGCCATCATGGCTGAGATCAGAGGGAAACCTATCGAGTAAGTCTTGATTGTGCTTATCTTTCTTTTTGGTTTAAACGTTCATGTTAATAACAGCCTGCCTTTCAGACAGTTTCAACCTGTATGAACCTGTGCTTTGTTTTAGGTCAAGCTGTGTGTATGGGACCTGCTGTCTGTGGGGAAAGACGTACTCCATTGGTTTCCTCAGGTTTTGCAAACAGGTACCAATCACCATCTTGGCTCATATACGGTACATTGTTTGGTATTACTCAAATGGTGTAACAGTGCTGCTTTTTACTGACGTGGTTCTTCTCCTGACATAGTTGTTCCCCCCTTTTACTTCCTCTCACTCTCTCTGTCTTGCTTTTGCTTCCTCAGGCAACTCTGCAGTTCTGTGTGGTGAAACCTCTGATGGCAGTGATCACTGTCATTCTTCAGGCCTTCGGGAAATACAGAGATGGAGACTTTAAGTATGTTTCCACAGCAACTTACCCACTGTCACTCACCGCAGGAACGTCTCCCCGAGCAGAGATTTGCTGTGTTCTGACTTCTTGTCATCACAGATGTGACTTCACCCAAACATGTTTTGTCAGACCAGCGTTAGTTGAACCTGCCTTCTGAATGCAGAGAATCTGTCATGAGTTAACATTTTGAAAATATATCAGATCTCTAGTTGTCTCTCTGTTTTGCATCTCTCATGTTATTATGCTACAATCCCTAATGAGGGCGGAGTGCATCCAAATCTCCACTTCTTTATGAACTTCATGACTTAAAGCTGCATATTTATGTAAAGTTATGCTCATCACAATTTGCCCAAATGAAAAATTACCAACATGAACTTGCCTTGTGTGGGTTCAAGCTGATTGTAAATCAGGTTTAAATGATTCTAGTTTCTTTGTTTCCTCACTAAGACATTGCTGTGTCACTGCTAAAGCACATTGTTTTTTCTGCATCCCTCTCCTCCAGCGTGGCAAGCGGCTATCTGTATGTGACCATTATCTACAACATCTCCGTCAGCCTGTCGCTCTACGCTCTCTTCCTCTTCTACTTCGCCACTCGTGAGCTGCTTGTCCCGTACAACCCTGTGCTCAAGTTCTTCATGGTCAAGTCAGTCATCTTCCTCTCCTTCTGGCAAGGTAAGAAGACCTTCTGAAATTGGTAACACATAAACGCACGCAGCAGCACTCTTTTTTGTGAACAGAAGAACATTTTTAGTGAATTTCCAAGAGGCTAACAAAAGAAAATGGAAACCCCTGATTGTTTCCATCATATTGTGCAATACAGTTACTGTTATTAAAAGAGAGCTTTGTGTCAGCTTTGTGAATTCTAGAGATGTAATCAGAAGATTGGAATCAGGTCCTTTCACCAGTTTAAATGTGCCTCCATCAACCTGTTGTGGCTCATATCTGTTAATATCCAAACCTTTTGACTGTTTGTAACAAGTGATTGTTCAGTTTTTATGTCTCCAGTCATGTTGTCTCATGCACAGATTCAGATTATTGTGCCTTTTTCCTCTGTTTTATGATTTCTGTTTTCTCACCCTGTGTCTCTGCGTACGATTCAGGGATGCTGCTGGCCATCCTGGAGAAGTGCGGAGCCATCCCTGAGATCAGCTCGGCTGACTTCTCTGTAGGCGAGGGAACGGTTGCCGCTGGTTACCAGAACTTCATCATCTGCATTGAGATGTTCTTTGCTGCTGTTGCTTTGCGTCATGCCTTCACTTACAAGGTCTACATGGACAAAAGACTGGACTCATATGGTGAGGGGAGAGTGTGTGTGTGTGTGTGTGTGTGTGTGTGGGGGGGGGGGGGGGGGGGGGGGTGTATTGATGGGTTTAAGACCAGAAAAGAGATGCAAACTGTAAAGATAATGAGACAGAAAGCATGTATGTTATAGCGTGCATTATAACCTGGTTCTCCATACAAACTGATCTCTGCAGTCTGATCTTACTCTTTGTGTCCGAACCTTTGTACTTTGATTCCTATCTTTGACACACTCTGTTAGGGTTGTACCAAACACCTCGAAGCGTCATTCATAATACTGATATTTGAATTCTAAATCAACACTCGAATGTTGTGCATGTTTTTTTGCATGTCTGTTAATTCTGCTTAAACCCAATATTTTTGCATAGTTGCAGATCAAGATTAGGCTACACTAATATTATTACTATAATACTATTTGGAGAATTAGATTCCAGTGGTGGTTGTGTGGAATAGTTTCCAACAAACACATGACAAACATTTCCCATAACTCCAGAGCGTTGTAAAATCCAAAAAGTCAACATTCATTTAAAAAAAAAGTTAGATGTAATCATTTCCAAAAATCATGACATGTTTTTATCTAATGAAATATTCTGCTTCAATCCATATTTGTTGGTGTTATACCTTTCAAAAACTACATCACTGCTCTCCTGTTTGCCACACACAGAGGCACACACTTGCAGTCTAATAGCAGTCTGATAGCACCATAAATTATATTCAGTCATTAAAGAACATTGATTTAATAAAACACATTTATTGCGATGAATCACTGTATTCAAATTGAGAATTTTGTTTTTAGGATTTTATTTATTTCATTATAATATATGACAACATCCTTTAAACTTTCATTTTAATACCTTAGAAGCCTAAAACAAAAAACGATTCCATACAGCCCATTTCTTCTGCTTTTCCTTCATTTTCACCCTGACTTTCTTCTTCTTCCTTGTCTCTCTTTGTCTCCCCTTTCTCCTTTTTCTCCCTTCTTTACTGTGCTGCACTGAAAGGCTCATTTCCTATCTACGGACAGTACGGTAGGTCTGATGTTGGCTGTGTTTTGCCCGTATCTATCTCAGTTCTGTATGTCTGCCACCATTACAGTGCTTCGTGTTTGCTTTTTTTGTGTGTTTGGTCATCGTTGAATTTAAATTACTTTTTCATTGTTTTCACTTCGGCATAAATTCAGTTAATTCATGTAAAATTGTGGGTTTGTGACTGTCTGGTTTTGTTTCATGTTCAGTGAATTCAGGCTTTGAACATTTCGCTTTTTCATTTCTCCTGGTTCACAATTTGGTTTTGGCTGCTTTCAGACCTAGAGTTGTCTTGCTTTGGTCTGAATCAGGGACTAATTTGGTCACAAAGTTGTATAATTGCCTAGAGTTGGTTCGTGTTCTCACGGCAGCATTTATAAGCGGACCAGATCAAATGCCTTGTGTGAGAAGGCTGCTCTTGATTGGTCAGAATTTCCATGTGGGAAAAATCCAGGAAGTAAAGCAAACATTGAAGAAGAGTACACTTGCAAGATAAATGTGACACTTTCTAATGTCACAATGGAGGGACAACTACGCAGGTTGATTTTAGCGCTGCTCTTCGTGGACTATATTGCTGTCATTGTTCATTTTAGTCAAACCTTACAGTTTGAAAACGAGGCGCGGCTCCAACTAGAAAACAATGTTTTGATGCATTGGATGTGCTGAATGTGCATATTAAGGCAGTACAGGAGGAGGTGCACATTAATAATCCTCCAGGACTGTAACATGCTCATGTTTAACCCAAACAATGTGTCATGTGACTGCAGTTGGTTCACATCCAGGTCAGAACACGTTCTCACCACAAACCAACCGCACCAGAGTTCGTTTGTAACCGGACTGAGACCACCTCTTCAAGAAGGTCTCAGTCCAGTTGTTTTGGTGCACACCCGAGTGTGATTGCGATGCTCACACCTGCCCAAATGAACTGCAGGGGGCAAATGAACTTGAGTTCGATTGTGGGTGTGAAAGCACCCTGAGTCTACGTTGCTACCCCTCTCACGGCCAAAATACATGGGACACAGTGGTCCAAGAACACAATGTGGGATGTTGTTCCAGGAACATGTCCTACTTGGTAAAATCACATTGTGCCCTCTAATACTCCCCACTGTTGCTTTATTATGTATGTAATATGCGTGTCTACGACATTCAGGGAACAGATTGTTTATTTCATCCTGATGAATGAACTTTGCAAAAAAAAAAAAAAATTTTTGTCAACATTTCAAAGATTTATTTGGAAAATTCACTCGTCAGTCGGATAGTTTCTGTATTTCTCTCACTCATCTGTCACTTTCATACGTCCCCTCCCTGTCCACACAGTTCTGTCTCTTTACTGACAACATCTCGACCCTTCCTCCAGGTCGCTGTGCCCCAATGAAGAGCATCTCCAGCAGCCTGAAGGAGACCATGAACCCAGGAGATATGGTCCAGGATGCCATCCATAACTTCTCCCCAGCTTATCAGCAGTACACCCAGCAGTCCACGCTGGAGCGGAGCGGGGGGCCACCTCTCTCCCGCAGCCACAGTAACCTCAGCACCCGTGGGGACAACGAAAAGACCCTGCTGCTCAGCTCTGATGACGAGTTCTGAGGCTCAGACACACACTCACTTTACTCCTGTAGCCCATATTGAATTTGTATCAGCTGTGTGTGAGACAAATCAGATCTTTTGTTGCTACTTTGACATGGAAGATCAGGTTCTGTTTTCTTTTTTGTTTTTACATTTAGACAACAATGGAAAGGTCAGATTCATGTCAGACTTATGAAACTGTGAGAAGAGTGTTTTTACAAGGACAGAGAGGTAATAATTGGTAGAGTAGGAACAGAGGTGAAGACGATGGAGACGTTGTCACACATGTAGTTTGGGAGAGGAGAAGTCAAGATGTTTAGACATTAGGTTTATTAACCGGTCAAGTTGTCATTTGTGTTGATGTCATAGAGGCCGTTACTGACAGAACTACCATATCACATGGATACGAATAACCGTGCCTGCATATAGAGTCCTTATGCTGCACTTTAAACACTACAGCAAAAAAGTATACAACAGATATAAGATGTATGCTAGAGCAAATAAGTGCCATCTTCATCTACAACACATGGCCTCCGTCATCTTTTAGTTTTTATACTGATTCTCAGTCCAAACTCCACCTCACCCCTCTGCCAATTCTGCCTCTTGCCGAAACATTGCCAAATAGAGGGAGTACCCTGTGCTCCTGTCGATGAGACACACTGTCTTAAGATTTAGAATCGATTTATAGTCAAGCAAAACTACGGAGCCTTTGAATTGCCAGGCTTCATTTTAATATATAAGACTTTAATCTTTTTTTATTTAAATGTCGTATGACCTTGAAGGTATAACTCAGTTAAAGAGTAGTTTGTTGGAAAATTGTTATTCCAGAAATGTTATAAATATTCTGTTTTCATTTTGTTGTGATGAAGAAGTGACTCAGAAGTGTAATCGTACGACTCCAGCTGCTGGCCTGACTCGGGCTCCTCGCGTTTTGTTTGTGGAGCAGTGAGGGAACAGCTGTGGGAGGGATTTTAGCGTGGGCAGGGGGAGACTGACGGAAGGACAACACCCACACAGATTACAGATTACTGAAGAAGCAACACTTCCCTGCAGAGCCGGCCCAGCTGTGATGTGCTGCGGATTGTAATCCCATAATTAAAGGCATTACATGTACCACAGATCAGCCCTGCCTCTGCTGGTGGTGTTTATAGTGGCATCACTGCTGTAGTAGTGGTGAGTTAGTCACGATGTTGCAGATATATATGGCCGAGCAAAGGTGTGTCAGTGCAAACAAGGCTTTAAGGGTCCCATATTCTGCTTATTTTCAGGGCCATACTTTCATTTGTGGTTTTTACGAAATGTTTACATGCTTAAATGTTCAAACACAAATCTGTGTTTATCCTCTGTCTGAAACGCACGCTTTTAGCGCCCGTCTCTTATAGCTACCCCTCTTGAAAAAGCCCAGTCTGCTCTGATTGGTCAGCGTTTCCGGGTCTTCCACATGAGCACCAAGTCCCTAGAAACAGTGCCAGGCTTTTTAGACAATTTTACATAGTGGGAAAAAACATGGATGTATAAAGAGATTTAGATACAGTGTTTGAGGCAGGCCCCCATTTATTTCTATTATAGCTGCTCAGCGCTCTGTTTCTGTGGTATGAAATTACCCGGAAGCGCACTGGAGACTTTAGGTAGCCAAGCGCAGCTGAGCTATCTAGAATGGAGATGAAAATGATTTTGAGATGTTTTTGGACCAAATGGATCAAATCCCAATAGTGAAATGAGCCATTATGCGGGGGTTGTGATGCTCATTTATCCGCTGAATTACAGATGGCTCTTTCCCAATGTAAGTCTGTGGGAAAACTTCTTTTTGGGCACAATGGCATCACGTGACAGACCCAGACGGTGTAGTTTCACTTTTGACCGCTATGTAGAATTGGCTCCAAAGCACAGCACTGTTCCTGTGGGCTTGGACCATATGTGGAGTTACGACTTCTAGGTCCATCGTGTGATGCTACTGGACCCAAAAAGACTTCTTCCATAAACTTACATTGGGAAAAAGACATCTGTAAATCCACTGATACATTTTTTGGGGTGTCACAGCCCCGTGAAATGACTGGTTTCACTATCAGGATTTGATCTATTCAGTTTGATAACATTTCAAAAAACATACAAGAGCCACACAGTTACATCATTTTTACCCCCATTTAAGTAAGTAGAGGGCTAAACCGGAAGTTAGCTGCTCAGCCTTTGAGACTGAGCAACTTAAATAGGAATGAACGTGTGCCTGCCTTCAACGCTGTATCCAGTTCTCTTTATACTATCATGATATGTGCTCTCTGCCTTTCTGCAGTGTAAGTGCAGCTAGGGAATGACTGTTAATGACACTGTGGCGCAAGGGTCAGCAAAATTTACTACTTGAAGAGCCATTTTTGGTCCAAAAAAAAAAGAGTTAGATCTGTCTTGAGCTGCAAAATATATATTTGAGCCTTTTAAGAAAAGGTGACACAGCCTTATTTAGTCTAAATTAGCTTATCAACATTATAATAGGTCTAATTATTAAAATAATGTACCATTTGGTGGCTACTCTGCAGTAAGATATTTATGAAAGTAAACAAGTCTGTCTATGCACTATTAAATTCAATATTTTCCTCCAAGACTTTTACTTTCTGAAACTGGAATCCACATCTAGCTTTGCTAAGTAGACAAAAGACAAGCCGCCACTCTTGATGTTGGGCAAAATTTATAAAAGGCCATAGCCTTGACGGATCATTTACAGGCTCAATGAATATGGACTGTGCATTTCTCTGTGGCTTGAGTGCTTTGATACTTTCACAGTATTTGTATAGCACCTATACCTGCTTTATTATAAAAGCTGACACGTAAATCTGACCTTTCACAATATGGGACCTTTAAGTCAAACTGGACTCACATCTGGAAAAGAATACACGGGCATTAAAAGCTGGTATGCAAGATTCAGGGACACACTATAGCAGTGATGCACGGTAGAAGAAAATTCTCAAGTGAGTCAGAACCTTCAGGCCTGCCTGTCATCCTGTTTCTTATTACGAGAGTTAATCGTTCATACGTTATCAACTGATGTTCAATATGCGTTTTAGCAGGGGCCAGTATAGAAGCTGCTTGTGGTCTTGATCGTAAATGTTTGATGGCAGAGCACAGTGACATAAAAGCTGAGTAGGTCCTTTTGACAGGTGACATTAGGCCCGATGCTGCCTCTAAATGTGCGATCATTGTTTTTTCTTATGATGAGTCCAAACAGAGTACGGACTGCAGCAAAGCAAGTCCTTGTGAGTAATGAATGTAGGCCGGGTGAAAAATTGACAGCCAAATTAATGTGAACCTTAAGAGGACAACTTCAACATTCAACGGATTATTAAAAGTGTTGAAAAGTTGGTTTCCTGCTGTGACTGCTGATCCCTACTGACCAGCTCCTGCACTCAAATATTAACGCATCATCTTTGTATCCGACGTTCCACTGAACCTGCTTCAGTTAAAGGGAAGGCTGAGTGAATTTGTTCTGTTATCACTGCCTTTTACTCTGCCCCAGGTTAACAACATATCAGACTCAAGCATCCTGATTCAAAACACTATCAAGTGATAGTTTTGATACTGCGTGATTGACAAGCTGGACGTTAATCACGAAGGTGAATATATTAAAGAAGGAAATATTCTCCCAGAGAGGAAGGAATGCTGTAAATAAAGTTAAACTGAGCACTGCGAAACATTCATGATGAAGACTGTAATGGCATTGCTTGGTATAGTGCTTTAGTTTATAATGTTTTAATTTTCATACATTCTCTTGTTTTATTTCTGTTGTACACTTTTTAATTTGTATATTGGTAATATTATCTTGCTTTGATGCTATATTGGTTCCTGTTGGTGTTGAAAAGGAAATTAAATACAAGTGCAAGCAAAATGTTCCTGCCAGGTTTTTGTTCACACTAACGTGTCAGCACAGTCACTATCAATGCAACAACATTTAATATTTTGTGACATTTGTACAACGATTCTACTCATAAATTAAACTCTAGAAATACATTGAGGAGTCTCTGCGGAACAGATACTTAATGGTATCTTACAGGGCGCCTTTAGGTCCTTAAAAAGTCTTGAATTCAGTTTATAAATATGAAGCCTCAGAAGTCTTTAAATGGACCTTTTTCAAACAGACATTTTGACTTGTCCTTGTAGGAAAGGCACAGGGGAAAATAACCCATTAACGATGGCTGAGCTCCAGTAAATGTCCGATGTTATAATTCTTTAAACCTATAACTGAACTTGCTCTCACCTGATGGCAAAATGTAGATAACACTGCAATAACCATAAACCTACATTAAATTAAAAAAAACTTAATTTATCCTGAAGGACATTTTTGTGCCAGAGAAATGCTTCAATTACAGTAACACAAAATACAGCAACAACAATTAACATTACCTTTTAAAAAAAACCTAATGGTTGTTCATGTTGTTTTTTTTTTTTTTTATTATTTTATTTTTTTTATCGAATGTTAATTACCATTACTGTAAATCTGTAATTGAAGCATTCTCTGGCCCGAGACTTTCCTTCAGAATAAATAAGGTTTCATTGAATTTAATTTAAGGCATGGTTATGACAGTGAGTTATATCAGTCTTAATTTTGCCACCAGGTACGTGCAAGTATAAAGTGGTAGTATTAGGAGTATTAGAAGTATTAGGTCCAGGTTTAAAGATTTGTATCATTAGAAATGTGGACTTTCACCATAGACTGTATAAAAATCAAATACTTTCACACAGAAGAGCTTGACTCATTTTGTCAAAATAAAAAGTAAAAGATGGATAAATTATATTATGTCAAATGTTTGAGGCATTTAAGACCTCACATTTAAATTTTGCCATGTCATAATCAAAAGCACGTGTTTTCTGCATGTGCATGTTTTTTTTTTGTTTGTTTGTTTGTTTTTGCATGGTACCTCAAAAATTTTATTAACCCGCAAAACTTTAACAAGAAAACGATCATTGTGGTTAATTTAAAAAAAAAAAACTTTTTAAAAATTTAAAAAAGGTCTTAAAAGGATTAAATGTAAGTATCTCATACTTGTTGACAACCGGTACTCAAAGAATACAGAACTAGAGGGTGCCATCTTGAAACAAAAAATACAAAATATATATTTCTTTCCTTTCTTTTCTACTGAACAGATATTCAGCCTGTGCTAAAGCGGACAATAAATAAATAAATAAATAAAATATTAAAGAAAAAGGACTGACAACATGAGGATGTCAATCATACTTGAGGGGGCGGGGCCTCCTAGACAGCCAGCCAATCAGAGTAGCTTCTGCTTGCCACTCGTGCGCTCGCTGCGCTATGCTAACAATAACATAGCGTACTGCACCTTTTTCGTGTCAGTTGAGCTTAACTTAAGGTTAAACTTACACTGTAACGCATTATTTGGTGTGATATTTCACTTTTCAACAAGCCTTGGAGAAAGCGACTGTTTCCTCACCCAGTCAGCGTTTTAAAATAACGTTAACGTTAGCATTAGTTAGCTAACAATCCGGTGGTTTGTTTTCGAGCTAGGCCTGAGTCGGTACCGTTAGCGAACCTGTCCGTAAAAAGGCTTTACTGACCGAAAGGCAACATTAAATAACTGCTTCACCTGTCAGAAAAAAGAGTGTCTTCAAAATGAGAGGTTCATACGGAGACAGAGATCGAGACCGTGGCCGTGACAGAGGGTAAGTAACTAGGTAATCAACACAGTCGAGTAAGCTAACAGTTAGCATGCGAGTTAGCGCAAACAGGTAGATGTCATTACATAAGGCTCTCGTTCCATGGTTGCGGTTAACAGTGATACTGACAATATTATACGCCTTTAATGTGTCGTAAAGTCGGCTAACGTTACACAACATGTGTCTGTCCATGTTGCAGAAGCCCTCGTTTCGGGTCCAGCAGAGGCGGCCCCCCACCGGGTAGAAAGTTTGGAAACCCCGGGGACCGTTTACGAAAGAAGAGATGGGATCTGGATGAGCTTCCCAAGTTTGAGAAGAACTTTTATAATGAACACCTGGAAGTGCAGCGAATGAGCCAGGTATTCCAAAAATATCTCAGCCTGATCTTTGATGCACGTACATTATGTAAGACATGAGTAGAGTGACAGTAGATCAAGAGTGCTGTTCAGTTGGTTCTTCACACTTGTTGTTGTCTTGTGCAGTATGATGTTGAGGAGTATTGCAGGAAGAAAGAAATCACAGTTCGAGGTTCAGGCTGCCCAAAGCCTATCACCAACTTCCACCAGGCACAGTTTCCCCGTAAGCACATGCATACATGGATTCCTACACATGCACAGCAGCTACATCTGTTGCTATAGAAACAAGTAGAATAACTCCTGATCTGCCTCTTCATCTAGAATATGTAATGGACGTCCTGATGCAGCAGAATTTCAAGGAGCCCACAGCCATCCAGGCTCAAGGTTTCCCTCTGGCCCTGAGTGGGAGAGACCTTGTGGGCATTGCTCAGACTGGCTCCGGGAAGACCTTATCGGTGAGACACACGTCTTCCTGTGACTGCACTTGCAAAGACTAATACACAACATAACAGCAGCATAACCCACTGATCTCTTTTACAGTACCTCCTACCTGCCATCGTGCACATCAATCATCAGCCCTACTTGGAGCGCGGAGATGGACCCATTGTATGTAAAGAGAAGAGAATCCCACACATTTTAGAGTTCACATGAATGATTTTTAAAGCCGTGATAGCATTATAAAAATATCTAATACACTAAATAGTGGATTGTTATAGTGTTATATGTGTGCTCTGCAGTGCTTGGTTCTGGCCCCCACAAGAGAACTGGCGCAGCAGGTCCAGCAGGTGGCATACGACTACGGAAAATCCTCCCGCATCAAAAGCACTTGTGTGTACGGAGGTGCTCCCAAGGGACCTCAAATCAGAGACTTGGAGAGAGGTTAGTGTATTTACTGTTAGGATTTGTGTCCCATTTGATTTTTCTTTTCATTTTAATTGTCTGAGTCGTCTGAAACAGTTTATTTTACATTGAAATCCACATTTAGTTAGTCTGTGAGTTTGTCTCTCCCAGGTGTTGAGATCTGCATCGCTACTCCGGGTCGTCTGATTGATTTCCTTGAGGCTGGAAAGACCAACCTGCGACGCTGCACATACTTGGTTCTGGATGAAGCTGACCGCATGCTGGATATGGGTTTTGAGCCACAGATTCGCAAGATTGTGGACCAGATCAGGGTACCCTTTTTATAGAATATTAGTGTTTGTGTTTTTACCAACAGAGACACAGCTTATGTATTGAAAGATGCAGCAGTCATTTTAGTATCTGTCATCACTTGTTTTTGTGTATGTAATGTGTGCTCTTTGCCCTCAGCCCGACAGACAGACCCTGATGTGGAGCGCCACCTGGCCTAAAGAGGTTCGCCAGCTGGCCGAGGACTTTTTAAAAGACTATGTCCAAATCAATGTCGGAGCACTGGAACTCAGCGCCAACCACAACATCCTTCAGATAGTTGATGTCTGTATGGAGAGTGAAAAGGACCACAAGTAAGTGCTTTGGTTTATTAGGGGCTGTACACATGCTGCATTTTTGTGGCTCAAATTCATTGTTTCCACCACGGCGTGCACATGTTCCTGAGGGCCCATTTGTCAGGGCACGACAGCTGTGCTTCGAGATAAACCAAGTTAAACTTTTGAAACATAGCAACGCACACAGCATGTCATGTGACGAGGAACAACCAATCACAACTGACAGATATCCTTCCCTTCTTCCGTAAATATCAGTCGCTACCCAGAGCTTTACATCTGTCCCACGGACGCTACACGGTGCTTGTTAAGGTTGCTTAGTGACACAAAAAAGGCAGAAGAGTAGTGCCCAGCACCCGAACCTCGTGTTTTCCAGGTGGCTAAAGGCATGGCACGTGTACGATCCCTTGCAGTTTGTTTGGGGTTTACTCTCTTTCCTGTTTAATGTATGTCCTTCCTGTCATTTTTAATTCTTAATTTAATGATCGTGGTCTTAAGTACAATATATACATGCACACTTTGTAAATGTTATGATAATGTTTTTTTCTTTCCTCAGGTTGATCCAGCTGATGGAGGAAATCATGGCTGAGAAGGAGAACAAGACCATTATCTTTGTGGAGACCAAGAAACGATGTGACGATCTCACACGCAGAATGAGACGTGATGGGTGAGTGATGATGGGATTCTGTACAGTTTGAACGTGGTCATCATGTGCTGCATCCGACCCATAAGTTTGTGGGAACAGGAAGGAATGCAGTTCCTTTCAGGGATTAAGAACGGATCATTTAAAATAATATAACATCATAGTGATAATAACTGGTTAAATCTACATTTATGTGACAGCTTGCTTGTCTCTCTTCCAGGTGGCCAGCGATGTGCATTCATGGTGACAAGAGCCAACCAGAGAGAGACTGGGTGTTAACGGGTACAATGCACTGGCACTTGTACAAGTCTGTGTTCTCTATTTCAAGATAATGTTCAGCTGCTGATCTTCTTTTCTTTGTCTGGTGTTGCAGAGTTCCGTAGTGGCAAAGCTCCCATCCTCATCGCTACTGACGTGGCCTCGCGTGGTCTGGGTATGTCCTGTGTGCTCAAGTGCAGTGCAAATGATTTCCTCAGTATAACCACACACTGATAGGGTACACATACAAGATATTTGACCTCTTAATATTTATAATAATAATGATGGTCATTATATAATGATCAGAAGCTTCACTGCATGTTTATTTAGAGTAGATTTATGACCAAAAGTCAACTACAAACACATACTTTTCTTCCAAAGAACATATGATGCTTCTCAGATAAACTGTGTATCTCAGAAGTTTATCATATTTGAAGGTTTCCTGTGAAGATTTAAACCACTTTGTTCTATTGAATAACACAGAAAAACACTGAACATA